GCCGAGTGCAAACCGTAGGGTTGCACCAACAAACTCCATGCTCTACTCGGAGTGTGATTGGGGCGAGATAAACCCAGCATAGCAACACATTGGTTCTTTCTTTCTGAACCATGCACCCCGCTTGACGAACTCCCACCACTCTCGATTATGTATTTTTGTTCCATTTAAATCCCAAGGTCAGCATGGTCTTTGCTACAGACTTTTCTGTGAAACCAGGCAGCGACGAAAATGTGAATTTGTCATCGAACTGTGGTGGTGGTGAAAGGCGATCATTGGGGGAAGAGAAGGATGTGTGCGGGTTGGAAAGGGGGCGTGACAAGTGTGCGAATTCGGAAGGGAGAAGGGAGGGATGGCGATATTGACGGGGATGACAAGGCGACGAGGGGAGAGAGAGACGGGGATTGCGAGGGGACGAGCGGGAGGGAGGGCGACGAGCGGTAGGGAGGGCAACGCGACAAAGGGGGGCAATGGGCGGAAGGGAGCGCGACGAGGGGAAGGTAGGGCGGCTCGGGTCAGGAGGGCAATGGGAGGAAGGGAGGGCGATGAGACGAAGGGAGTGTGACGGGCGGAAGGGCGACGGGCGGAAAGGAGGAGGATGGGCGACTGGCGGAAGGGAGGACGACGGGCAGAAGGGAGGGCGACGGGCGGAAGGGAGGGCGATGACGGAAGGGCGGGCGATGGGCAGAAGGGAGTGCGACGGGTGGATGTGAGTGCGACGAGCGGAAAGGGATGCGACGAGCGCTAGGGAGTGCGACGAGCGCTAGGGAGGGCGACGGGCATAAGGGAGGGCGACAGCAAAAGGGAGGGCAATGGGCGTAAGTGTCAGAATCTGATTGCATTGACGTCAAACTGAGTACAAGTACTAACCCTACTTGGGATTTACCCCATATAGGCTACCCCACTACAGCCTACACAACATAAGCCTCATTATAGTTTGACACACCCCCGTAGGCAAAGTGGGGGAGAACAAGGGGTCACAAGACCAGTCAAGAAAAGCAAAGCAAGCTCAGGGTGGATCACGAAGTCACCACACACTTTGAGCACAAAGCAAGTGGCCACAAGGCCAGTTCACATGCAGAGTTATAGATATGGGAACAAGCAGTACAATGAAAACAACCTAGCAGGTGTAGGCATGCAGGTACAAGTATATAGAACATAGTACAAGCAAATTCACGAAGTAAGCGAGGCAAAGTAGGTACAAGGCCTAAAGCAGTATAGAAACGCTGACGATCACAAGACTGAAGTGCCTTGGTGAATATATCAGCAGTGTTGGCCCAAGTGGCCACGTAAGCAAGACGAAGCTGACCACGCTGCTACAACTCTCGAGCAAGGAAGTAACGCAGAGCGATGTGCTTCGTCCTGTGCTCTAGTCTGTGCTCCTGGGACAACACCCTCTTAGCGGCCTCCATGTGCTCTGGTCGGTGTCTCCCGGGTGCAACGTAGCGTGCCAGGATGCTGAGAGGGTACGCAAGGTCAGGTCGAGTGCAGGTCATCAGGTACATGAGGCAGCCCACAAGCTCTGGCTACGGGCCACTCGGCTCTACGGACTCGTAGGTCCGAAGGTGGAGCTGAGAGCAAGTGACCGGTAGGCGGAGGAGTGGACTGTGGCGAGGACCAAGTGAAGCCGAAGTGCTGAAGGACCTGCTGCACCATGTGTGACTGAGTCAGGGTGATGGTGCAGCGTGCTCTGTCACGGGTGATCTGCAAGCCAAGATAGCTATGCAGCTCACCCTGGTCTGTGCACGTGTGTCTCTTCTGCAGCTCCGACTTCACAAGGGCCAGATCCTCAGTATCAGCAGTGGCAAAGACCAAGTCGTCGACGTATACGAGGATGTAGAATGGCGGCAGCGAAGTGTCGGTGCGGAGAAACAGCGACGGGCCAGTAGTCGAAGGAGCAAACCCAAGAGCCGCAAGTGTCGTCCTCAGTGTGTCGTGCCACTCACGAGGCGCTTGGCGGAGACTGTAGACTGGCCGCCGGAGGCTCCACTGGGTACTTGCAGAAAACGACCAAGTGAAGCCAGGTGGGCGGCGCAGCCAGATCTCCTCGTGCAAGCCCCCCTGCAAAAATGATGTGCTGAAGTCAAGAGAGTGAAGCTCGTAGTCGCGCTGAGCAGAGACGTGTAGCAGCACCCAAAGAGTGGTCATCTTCGGGGTAGGGGAGAAGGTCTGGAAGAAGTCAACTCCCAGGTCTGGAAAGCCCCGTGCAACGTAACGAGCCTTGAAGACAGGCGGAGAACCCGGCGGTCGTTTCACCCTGAAAATCCACATGCCATCGACTATGTTCGCCCCAGGAGGGGGAACTGCGTCGACGTAAGTGCCAGTGGACTTCCAAGATGCCATCTCTGCATCCATGGGTGTCTGCCACTGAGAGGAGTAGGGACCCGTAATCGCCTCTGCGGAAGAGCGCGGGGTCGGGATGTCTGGAGCATCCGGGTCTCCCTCAGGTGCAAGCAGCATGGACACGAGATGGGGTACAGCAGCTGCAAGACACTCAAAGTCCCTCTACCTGTCCTCAAGGATGTCCGTGCCAAGAGCGCACTCACCCCCAACGGACGGAGGAAAGACCGACTCAGACTCAGCAACAAGACTTGTGGCGTAGTCGAGACGATAAGCAGCAGCAAAGTCAACAAGCTCAGCGACTAGGGCAGACGCAACAGTGGACTCAAACGAAGGGTCAGTGACATTAGTGGCCAGGAGACGCATGACAGTAGTACTGGCAGCACGAGCACGGTCAGACTCAGGGTCTGGACCGTCAGGAAGAGAGGACGTAGGAGGAGACGGAAGGGGAACTTGTAGTGGAACAGAGGAAGGACAAAGTGCCATAGTGTGCGTGCCAGGGACAGGAGGAGGACGCGGACGCGGAACACAGCGACCATTGTGAACAGCGCAAACAGGCGAGGCAGGACGAGACGCAGGCTCACGACGCTCTGTAAGCGAGTCCAACTACTCAGTGTAAGGAGAAGGAGCAGGCAGTGGGGAGCATGGCTGTAACGGGAGGCCAGTAGAAGACGGGAGGCTAAGAACCTGGTGAAGCGTGGAGGCAGGCGGTGGCAGAGACAACGGTGATGGCGAAGCGAAGAACAGTCGTCGCTGTGCAGTACCACCAGCACCAGTACCACCAGCTCCAGCGCCTCCAGTATGAGTACCAGCAGCCCCAGCGCCTCCAGCAGCTCCAGAACCTCCAGCTCCAGCGCCTCTAGCTCCAGCGCCTCCAGCTCCAGCACTTCTAGCTCCAGCGCCTCCAGCTCCAGCGGCTCCAGCTCCAGAGCCCGCAGCACCAGCAGCTCCAGTACCTCCAGCACCAGCAGCACCACCAGCTCCAGCAGCTCCAGTACCTCCAGTATGAGCACCTCCGTGACCAGCAGCTCCAGCACCTCCAGCAGCAGCACCACCACCAGCTCCAGCAGCTCCTGTACCTCCAGCAGCTCCTGTACCTCCAGCACCAGCAGCACCACCAGCTCCAGCAGCTCCAGTACCTCCAGTACGAGCACCTCTGGGACCAGCAGCTTTAGCACCTCCAGCAGCAGCAGGACCACCAGCTCCTGCAGCTCCAGTACCTCCAGCACCAGTAGCACCAACAGCTCTAGCAGCTCTAGTACCTCCAGTACGAGCACCTCCGGGATCAGCAGCTCCAGCACCTCCAGCAGCAGCAGCACCACCTGCTCCAGTACCTCTAGTACGAGCACGTCCGGGACTAGCAGCTCCAGCACCTCGAGCAGCAGCAGCACCACCTGTTCCAGCAGCTCTAGAAACTCCACTACCTCCTGCACCTCCAGCACTAGCAGCACCTCCAGTACTAGCAACTCCAAGGCCTCCAGCTCCAGCAGCGCCACTCCGAAGGCTACAACGCCGAACGTACCACTCGCGCAAATGCTGTGGTGAGAGAGGCTCCCGCTGGCTAGACTGCTGGGGCGAGGCACCAGTCGGACCTCCAAGACTAGTAACTCCACCACCTCTAGTAACACCAGTACCAGTAGTACCTCCAACACCTCCAGGACTAGCAGCTCCAGGGCCTCCAGCTCCAGCAGCGCCACTCCAAAGGCTACAGCGCCGAGCGTACCACTCGCGCAACTGCTGTGGTGAGAGAGGCTCCCGTAGTGTAGACGTAGGACCCCTAGGCTCAGCACCCCCAGACTCAGCACCCCCAGGCTCCGCACGCGCAGGCTCAACACCCCCAAGCTCCAAACCCACAGGCTCAGCACCCCCAAGCTCCGCACGCTCAGGCTCAGCACCTCCACGCTCCGCACGCCCAGGCTCCGCAACCGCAGGCTCACCACCTCCAGACGCAGCACCCCGAGCAGCACCAGAGTCACCAGTGACCTCGACAGGCTCAACCAAGTGGAGTGGGTCTACTATCGCGATATATGTTTATGTTTATAACTGCCTGTAGCTTTAGCTCTAGTGTAGTTATGATTCCTTGTTGTTGGTGGTGCACCTTTGCTAGTTTGCTATATGTACCTTGTGTGCTATAGTCAACAACACACATTCTCAATCCTCCTTGGCACAACTCTCTCGACACCCGCTTGGCCTAGGCTACTAAGCCTAGGCTCGTTAGTAAACCCCGGTTCCTAGTTAACTTAGTATTGTAACATGGTATAGAGCTAGACCGTCCTATGGGCCCACCGCCCCGTGCCCCGATCTAGTCCGTAGCGCCCGTTTGCCCCGCTCGCGTCACCCGTTTTGCCCCGTGCGTCACCAGTTTTCTCACCCGCGCTTCACCCGTTCTCTGCCCCGTGCGTAGCTCGCCAGCCCACTAGCGCACAGCAGACGCATGCGCACGTGCAATCGTAGCCGCACATGCGACCGCGCGCACGCGCATCATTAGCCGCATGCACGTGCAGCATTAGCCGCACGCACGCGTGACATTAGCAGCACGCACGGGCGGCCATAGCTGCACGCACGCGCAGCAATAGCCACTCGCACGCGCAGCTCGTCAGCTGCGCTACCGTCTCACCCGTCCCCGCTGACCCACCCGGTGCCTGCTGTACCACCCGTTCCAGTCACCTCACCCTGAAGTCAGCCGCCCCACCAGCTACTTTACCCCACCCAGAACCGTACAGCACCGCAGAGAATCGGGAATGAAGGGGACGGCGTCCGTGGCGGTCGTCGCGGCCCTTCCCCCCCCCCCGTCCCGCTTTCTTCCCTCCCGTCGCCTCGCTCCGCCCGTCGCATTCCCCCACCCCCTTGCCCGTCACCCCCCCCCCCCCCCCCCCCCGTCGCGACTGTTCGCGTGTGCAGCGGCGGTCGCTGTGGGTGGGAGAGGGAGGAGGGGAAGGGATTGGCGGTGGAACGCTGTAGGGGGAGAGGGAAAGGGGGAAGGGAGTGGCGGCGGAATGCTGTGGGGGAGAGAGGAAAAGGGGGAAGGGAGTGGCGGCGGAACACCAGCACCAGCACCAGGCACCAGCACCGGCGCCAGCCGCCAGCACCAGGCACCAGCACCAGCGCCAGCCGCCAGCACCAGGCACCAGCGCCAGCGCCAGCCGCCGGCACCAGGCACCAGCACCAGCGCCAGCCGCCAGCACCAGGCACCAGCACTAGCGCCAGCCGCCAGCACCAGGCACCAGCACTAGCGCCAGCCGCCAGTACCAGGCACCAGCACCAGCGCCAGCCGCCAGCACCAGGCACCAGCACCAGCGCCAGCCACCAGCACCAGGAACTAGCACCAGCACCGAAGCCAGTCACCAGCACCAGCACCGGCACTAGCGCCGTTACGCCAGCACCAGCCACCAGGACCAGCGCCAGCCGTCAGGCACCAGCACCAGTGCCAGCCGCCAGCACCAGGCACCAGCGCCAGCCACCAGCACCAGGCACCAGCACCAGCGCCAGCCGCCAGCACCAGGCACCAGCGCCAGCGCCAGCCGCCAGCACCAGGCACCAGCACCAGCACCAGCCGCCAGCACCAGGCACCAGCACCAGCGCCAGCCGCCAGCACCAGGCACCAGCACCAGCGCCAGCCGCCAGCACCAGGCACCAGCGCCAGCACCAGGCACCAGCACCAGCGCCAGTCACCAGCACCAGGCACCAGCGCCAGCCGCTAGCACCAGGCACCAGCGCCAGCCGCCAGCACCAGGCACCAGCGCCAGCGCCAGCCGCCAGCACCAGGCACCAGCACCAGCGCCAGCCGCCAGCACCAGGCACCAGCACCAGCGCCAGCCGCCAGCACCAGGCACCTGTGACCAGCAGCCCCACCTGTGACCAGCAGCCCCACCTGTGACCAGCAGCCCCACCTGTGACCAGCAGCCCCACCTGTGACCAGCAGCCCCACCTATGACCAGCAGCCCCACCCGTGACCAGCAGCCCCACCTGTGACCAGCAGCCCCACCTGTGACCAGCAGCCGCACCCGTGACCAGCAGCCCCACCTGTGACCAGCAGCCCCACCCGTGACCAGCAGCCCCACCTGTGACCAGCAGCCCCACCTGTGACCAGCAGCCCCACCCGTGACCAGTAGCCCCACCTGTGAAGAATTGGACAGGGACCATCGTGGGTGGGGAGGGGTCTGGAGGAAGAAAAGGGGGGAGGGAGTGCGGTTCCAGGGGGCGGTTGAAACGGGGGGTGAGGTTACAGGGGGTTGGTTGATTGGGGGTGGGGATGTGGGGGTTAGTAAGAGGGGACGCTGCGGCCACCCCCCCACCTCCACTCCTCATCCCCCACTCAACCCCCCCTGTGTAAAAGGGGGTTAGTAAGAGGGGACGCCGCGGCCACCCCCCCACCTCCTCTCCTCATCCCTCACTCACCTCTTCCTTTGTTCTTATCTCCTCTCCTCCCCTGTGTCTCTCTCGCCTCCTCCTCCTCACTTACCTCTCTACCGTCTTTCACAACGCCTGCAATACCCCTTCAGGGGGTGTGACTTACTCTAGCTATGTGCTGCAGGCAGTTAAGGGGGTGTGTCGCGATATATATTTATATATGTTTATAACTGCCTGTAGCTTTAGCTCTAGTGTAGTTATGATTCCTTGTTGTTGGTGGTGCACATAGAGCTAGTTTGCTATATGTACCTTGTGTGCTATAGTGAACAACACACATTCTCAATCCTCCTTGGCACAACTCTCTCGACACCCGCTTGGCCTAGGCTACTAAGCCTAGGCCCGTTAGTAAACCCCGGTTCCTAGTTAACTTAGTATTGTGACTTAGTCTTGTAACATCTACCTGAGACACACCTGAAAGAGCAGGACCCTGAGGGGGGAGGGGGTCTACCGGAGGGGGACCTGGAGCGAGGAAGAGCGGCGGGGGGGGGAGAGGGGCAGTGCGGTAGGGGAAGAGACGGCAAAAGGGAATCGACTCGTTGAGCGTGCATCCTGAGAGGGTAGGACACGGCGCGAGGTGGGGTGGTAAAACTGCCAGCCAGGCGCGTCAGGGGGAAAGCCAAGGAAGACGTAGGGAACGGCGCGGGCGGAGAGCCTGTCCGCGGAGGTATCGCAGACAAAGGCATGACAGCCCCAGACCCGGAACACCGACGCATCGCCAACCTCTCCCGTCCAACGCAGTGTAGGCGAGGTCTCCGGTAAGGAGACACGGGGCCAGAGGTTGAGCTGATACGCAGCGTACCGGACCGCAAACGGCCACAGAAAATGGGGAGTAGCCGCATGGATCATGGAGGTACGAGCGACCTCCATGACCAAGCCAATGCGGCGCTCAGCAATCCCATTTTGCTGAGGAGAGGCTGGAAGCGTGAACGATTGGAGGATGACCTCACCACGACAAAAGTCACGCAAGAGGTCGGACGAGAACTCACCACCTCTGTCAGAGTGCAGATGCAGGACAGGAAGGTCCGTGTCGAACCGCTCGCGGAGCTGGAGACGGACAGCGCGGATCCAAGGGATCAAGACATCAGGGACCTCCCCCTTGCTGCGCAAGGGGAAGACCGTGGTGTAACGCGAGTAGTCGTCAACAACCAGCAAAAAGTATCGCTCGCGGCTCTGTCCCTGGACGCGGGCTGGGCCCCACACGTCCATGCAGAGAGTCTATAGGGGAGCAGTCGTCGGGGGAAACGAGGAGGAGTGAGGAGTGGCGCGCTGCCGCCCCTCGACACAGGGAAGGCAGGGAGGGGCAGGCGAGTGTGGGAGGGGAGGCAGAGACCTGGGAAGACCAAAGACAAGGAGGCGGGAGTGCATGCCACGGAGCCATGGCAAAGAGGGGTGACCTAGGCGGTGGTGCCAAAGGAGAGTCTGGTGCGACAGGAGGTGACACGAACACGGGGCTGCTAGCTGACCTGACGCAGACGCAGCTACCTGAGGAGGCTCAGTAGTCAGTGTGTACAGGCTCGATCCAGGCCGATGGGTGAACGTGGCCAAGTGACGGCCCGTCCGTGCACACGTGCAAATCGCCACACGCTGTCATTCAGGGATAAAGGTATCAACCCTAGCATCCTGAAGGACGGCGTTACTCACCAAGTTCGTAGAGAACAAGGGGAGGTGAAGACCTGACAGTGAGCCAGACGGAACCGCCGGACACGGGAGAACTGTGGAGGAACGTGCACGAACCGGTCCTCCAGAGGGGTCAGCCAGAGAGACTGTAGCCGGTGCTGCGAAAAAGAAGCAGCGGGAAGAACCTGCGTCAAGTGTGAAGGTGTGTAAGGCCTCAACAGGCGCAATACCAGAGAGAGCAGACTCACCAGCACCTAAAGGAGTAGTCGGGCGGCACACACAGGTAGCAGTCACCCTGAGTACTATTAGTCAATGCATACATGGCAGTAAGGATAGCATCATAGTATAGCGCAAAGACATTCACGCCCTGCCTAAGCAGCTCTAGCCAGCGGGGGAGCTCAGCCGCGTCGCCAAACTCTACACGCTAGGTGTCGCTCAGACAGGAAAAGCAGCGCGATTGTGTGTGGCCAGGTGTCCCCCATGTCTGACCAGCCGGATCACCTGTGCGAATGATGTACGGGCAGCGAGCACTACTCCTAGACCCCCCACACTGAGCGTACCACTCACGAAGCTGCTGGGGCGTAAGAGTTTCGCACCGACGCGGCTGCAGCTGCACCAGGCCACCGCCAGAAACTCCCAACTGACTAGCTGCACCGCAACTGCCACTACTGCCGTCGCCACGACACCTACTAGCGTACCACTCACAAAGCTGCTGGGGCATACGGGTCTCGCTCGGACGTCGCTGCAGCTGCATCTGGCCACCGCTATAAACTCCCCACCGAACAGCTTCAAAGCGACTACTACTGAGGCCGCCACCACTCCCACTGCTGCCGCTACCGCCGCCACCACTCCCACCGCTGCTGTGAAAAGAAGTCATGCGACCAGGAGGGCAGCACGTAAGGGCGGCGAGGAGGCACTAGGGTAGGTCGGGGCGGTGCACGGTCAGGGAAGGGCAACGCGCGGCCAGAGCAGGGCGGCGCACTGTCAGAGCAGGGTTGCGCGCGGCTAGAGCAGGGCGGCGCGCGGCCAGAGCAGGGCGGCGTGCGGCCAGAGCAGGGCGGCGCGCAGCCAGAGCAGTGTAGTAGCACGCGGCAGCAGGCAGTAGCTCCTAGGGCAGCAGCACCTAGGGCTCTTTTTTTTTTTTTTTTTTTTTTTTTTTAAGGGTTCAGCAGGGCACGATGGCGCTGCAGAGGTGGCTCACGGGCTGCAGGGGAAGCGCGCGGGCTGCAGGGGTGGCTCGCGGGCTGCAGGGGCAGTGCGCGGGCTGCAAGAGGCAGGCGCGATGGGTGCAGGGACGGTTCGTGGGCTGCAGGGGAGGCTCGCCGGCTGCAGACGAGCGGCGCGCGGGCTGCAAGGGTCTGCGCGCGGGCGGCGTGCATGGGGCGGCGCGACGCGGGGCGGGCAGGGGCGGCGCGCAGGCAGGCAGGGCGGACGGGCGTCGCAGTGGGCTGGGGCAGCCCGCTCTGGTGATGCGACGGGCACGGGCAGGGCCGACGGGCGACGCGACGGGCTGCAGGGGCGCACGGTGCGACGGACAGTAGGGCGCGCGACGCGACGGGCTGCAGGGGCGCGCGACGCGACGGGCTGTAGGGGCGCGCGATGCGACGGGCTGCAGGGGCGCGTGACGCGAGGCAGGGCAGGGCGTGCGCGGGGCAGCGCAACGCAGGGCAGAGCAGGGCGTGCGCAGGGCAGCGCGACGTGGGGCAGGGCAGGGCGTGCTGGGGGCAGCGCGACGCGGGGCAGGGCAGGGCGTGCGCGGGGTAGCGCGACGCGGGGCAGGGCAGGGCATGCACGGGGAAGCACGACGCGGGGCAGGGCAGGGCGTGCGCGGGGGAGCGCGACGCGGGGCAGGGCAAGGCATGCGCGGGGGAGCGCGATGCGGGGCAGAGCAGGGCGTGCGCGGGGCAGTGCGACGCGGGGCAAAGCAGGGCGTGCGCGGGGCAGCGCGACGCAGGGCAAGGCATGCACGGGCTGTGTGACGCTAGGCAGGGCAGGGCAGGGTGCGCGCTGACTGCGCAGCGCAGGTAAGGGCGTGGGGTAGCGCGGTAATCGCAGTCGGTCATTAGCTAATGGTGGGCCCGAAAAAAAACGGTCATACGAACCTACTGCTCTAAAACCATGTCAGAATCTGATGAGCACGAATGATTGCATTGACATCAAACTGAGTACAAGTACTAACCCTAGTTGGGTTGTACCCCATATAGGCTACCCCTCTACAGCCTACACAACATAAGCATCATTTTAGTTTGACAGTAAGGGAGTGCGACGAGCGGAAGGGAGTGCAGGCAGGAAGAGAGTGCGGGCAGGAAGAGAGTGCGACGGGCGGAAGGGGGTGCGTCGAGGAGTTGGCAAGCGTGTTGAAACCAGGCAAGCACCCGTTCCTTGCGCTTCGCACGTACATGTGAGCGCCATCGTCCTGATAGAAATGGGCTTTTCCGATGACCTTTTTCTTTATCCATGCTATTCTTTTTTTGGAGAACCACAACCAGGCTGCTCTAAGGATACAGACAGCTTGCTGCCATTGTGAAAATGAGAGCTCACGCGCTCTGTTGGTCCTGAATAGCGGAGAAGACTACGTGTATTGTGCCTGAATATGGCTGCCAAATAGTACAACTTGGTTTTCAAGTTTGCTGAATGTGAACAGTGCTCCATCGCCAGTTGACACTTCACTCCGGAAGCCTTGTTTTGTCGTTGGCCAATCATGCATCACAGTTGCAAAACCACTTCTCTTCAAAGCGATGCAATGCTTCACTTCGGGTGGTAACCTGGTTTGTGGCGGGTTTATATTCAAGAATCTTGAATTTGAAAACAGCCATGTGGAACTCGGGCTTTAAATGTAAATGTTATACTCAATGCGATCGGGGCAGTTCGGGCACATCAGTTAGGGAGCTTTTAATACCCCCCCGGCAACTTCTTTACTCGGAGATACGTCCTAGGGTCCTGCGTAGAAGGGATGCGTCCTAAGTGTTACGAATAGTAAATTACTGCGCATTCCTACCTGTGGCAAGAACGGAGAACACAGAAGAGAGTACGAAGGCGAAAGGTTGAAACGACACGAACAGTTGGAAAGCATATGGACCGTCAAAGCAGACAACATCGGGCAGCTGCAGGAGAGA